TTCACGCTTATTATGAATCGCGGGCGCCTCCGTAACTCAGATCCATTCACCTTTCTCTGGAATTTTCATTATTGCGTGAATGGTGAATTTTTTTTGGAAATTTTCCAATTGCCATTTGGTCAAAAAGTGAAAAAATTAAAAATCACGCCTCGAGGGCTAACTCACGCTTATTATGACCAAGTGGCGCTTGGAAAATTTTCAAAATAAATTCACCATTCACGCAATAATGTAAATTCCAGGAAAAGGTGAACGGATCAGAGTAACGGAGTGACCGGCGATTCGTAATGAGGGTGAGTTAGCCCTCGGCGCGTGATTTTTAATTTTTTCATTTTTTGAAAACTTTCCCCTTGACAAATTTTCTAAAAAGTATCAGGGGAGCATGGAAATCGAGGAGATATTCACTGAAATTGAAAAATTAAAAATTTTGAAAAAATTATCAGGGGAGCTTGAAAATGGAGTCGCTATTCACTGATTCATCCTCTTTGGCAGGAACTCATTAAATTGTAAAACCATCGATTTTAGCTTGCATTGATTTAATTTCAAAGACACATGCACACATTTCGTAATTAAGACAAATTTACCACAAAAAACCCTGAATAGTCATAAAGACTTAGAGAAACGTGTATTCATATTCTAAATATGTATAAGTAATAATATAATGTAATCAGAATATTTATTAATATATAATTGTCGAAACGCCTTGTCTCCGGAGTACTGACAAAATACATTTAAATGGAAAGTAAGTAAATTACTGCTTGTCCTGAGAGGATACCGCAAAACCCTTGCGATATAAAGATGAAAATTAGTTAGATTAGTTACTCTAATTCAATTGCCACTCAACTTATAAATATAATTCTTGGAGTGGCAATTATTAGTTGATTACAAAATTCAAACATACTCTCAACTGTAATTTCACAATTGATATTTTGTCCCAAGGAATTAATCAAAATTCGCCCCCCTTCACATTACATCTTACTTCCTGTTATCAATACTAATTGAATTCCCTCTTTCACTTTATCAATGCAACATGATTGATAGAATTATGCCATTGCCTTGAATCGTTTTATTTTCAATAATAACGGATTTGAAGCTTTCATCAAATTGGCTATTTCATTGCTTTCAATTTCTTCGACGTTTTGTCCACCCAAAGCAGCAATTAAATCTCCTAATTGCAATTTTCCGGATTCCGCTGCGCTGCCCCCTGCCATCTGCGAAAAAAAAACCCTTTTGTATTTTTCTCTCATCTAAGAAAATAAGAATGAATGATAAATTGAATTGAATTATTTCATTCGAATGAATAAAATAAAAACAGTACGATATAACCTACCAATTCTGAAATATATGCTCCTTTTCCAGATTTGAATCCCATTAAGCCAAGACCAATGCCCTTAGTTGGTTTTCTTTGAAGTTCCACTTCCACTTCATCAATAGAATACTCATCTTGTAAAATACTAAGTTTCATCTAAAAATATTACATGTATTTTATTTGAAGAACCAATACGGCATTGCATCAATTCTATCCATCCCTATCGCAATATTTACCGGTCCCGTTGTACTGAGAATAATTGCCTCCGCCTTTTCATGGTCAATTGTTTTAAAATTTTCTTGACAAAATTCTAGTATTCTATCTCCTCGTTTTAGTTGACCAGTTTTCTCACCAAGACCATCGGGGTATAAATCCAAAATGAAAACACCACCCTACCAATAGATGTAGATATATTACTGTAATAAAATTGATGAAAAACATGAGCATATACAAGAAAAAAAGTTAACAGAATAACTGACACACGATGTATCGCTTCCACCCGCAATGATAAGCCCAAGGGCATTTTCTTTCGTTTTTGTTATTTCCACAATAGTGGGTTTGCCTTGAGATGTCTTTACATTTTTACTGTCTGCCGCTACTTCAGCTTTTTTTATTTCTCCAGATTGTTGAGTTTGGCCTTGAAAGAATATAAAAAGTAATGAATATTGAAAATCTGTTAATAATAATTGAAGTCCTTTGATTACCTGGTGATTTTTCAGTTGTTGGTATATCGGGTGAGAGTTTTGACAGCTCATTCATATCAGATTGCTCTTTCAACTTGTTCTGGTTTGGATTGCATACAGTTACCGTAACCATTCCTTCTACGCGTTTCAAGACAAGTGTAGCCTGCCAATAAATAAACAAATAGATGCGAAGAATAAATGAGAAGCCTTTATTAATGTAATATTGATGCCAAGTTATTACTCTTTTATGTCCTACTTCGCTCTCGAATAAAAGTAATTAAAACAATCATGAATTTAACAAATTCGGCTACATTTACCTGATCATACGTAGAACCTACGAGACTGTCTGAATTCACACCTAGAATCATATCACCTAGCAGAAGACCGCCCTATTAAGGAAATATTCTATGTAAACTTTATGTACACATTTTTTTTCACCCAACCCATATACACTTTTCGTCATTATTCTCTGACCTTTTCGGCTACACTCCCCTCTTGAATATCAGAAATGAAAATCCCTTGACCAACTTCAGCATGCTTGCCCTCAACAATCATTATACCTAAACCGTACAATCCCTGAAACATAAGGATTTACGATAATCGATTATCATATACCTTATATTAAGTATGGGATTTTTATTCTGTACTTTAATCATAAAATGTATCATAATAAAAATTATGAACGCCCAATGAATATTTCGTCAACCATACCTTCTTTAAAGATACCGTTCGCACTCCTTCAAATCCGCTATACCGATCCTGTAAACAAATAGTACTATCTAGTTAATGACATTTCTCACATAAATGCTCAATAAATTATCATAATTTCAGTGATTCATGTACTTACACTCTCATCGAATGCAGCTGGAAAATGAATGGGTAGCTTCGGTGCTAGGGCATTCATTTCTGAATTATCTCTATAATAAAATGAAAATTCAAAATTGATTTATGCATCTTTTTGATTGTGGTAATTTCAAATCAGCTATCCAAAAACCAAATTTCATATGAATGAGTGGAAAAAATAAAATGTAAATATAATGAAAAGTATTAAATGTACCGATGAATGATTAATTTCCACGTTGACCCGCCCATTCCTTTCATAATCACTGAAGCATTTAAATGGGAACGGCCCTGCAGTACATGCCCGTTTACCTAAAGCCAAAAATGGTAATATACAAGTAATCAGTATTTTCTCCATGAACTTATTAAAATCATACCTCCAATATCGCATCTCCAACTTTCAAATTTCCAACTTTAAAAGCATTCCCTTTTGGATTCAAACCACATATAAATACAGCCATCCTTGCTCTGTCTTTATGGCCAGCCAATGCGATACCCAAATCACCAGTAGTTCTATCAATTTTTTCGAGCACCACTTGACCATTCAATGAACGATATTTCTTCAAAATTTTTTCTTGAAACCAAAAGAATAATCGATTTTTCACTTTTCATTAAACACAATTCATTTATCTGTCATTATTTTCATCTAAAAAATATAGGACAATAGTTACGAGCAGTGTAACCGTATTCATCTTCTTCTTCAGAATCTGCTGCTATTTCAGCAGGCGTCCGTTTAACGTTACCAGCACTTTTACGCGATATCTATCAATAAATGATAATTTTTACATAATTAAATATAATAGATATGAAACTCATGTAACTGTTACACATTATGAGGCTTATATATACGTATATTCACCTCCATGCCAGCTTTAGTATGAATGTTGCCTTCCATATAGCGCTCATCCTCACTCTCCGAACTTTCTTCAGAGTCAGGGTGGTGAACATCATTTTCTCTAATAGATTTTTCTTCATCAGCTTCTTGGTTAACAGCGGTTGCAGTTCCCATAGAGTTTGCGGATTGTATTAAAGCCACGTGCTCTTGGGTCTTATTAGATAATACTCTACAAATCAAACTGTTTATTAACAGCATGACGATCGTAAATATATATCTACAAACCATTCCTTTTGCCTCCCTTACCTTTCAAGCGATTTCTGCTCAGTTTTCTCTTGTGGTTGAATACAATCGGATTGATCCTGTAATACTCATGGCATTTATTTATCAAGCAGAGTAATGTTAGCCAGGATGAAAAAAAAAAAATTGAAAATGCAATATGCATTTCATATAATGAAGGAAATCCATAGAATAATAAGTGATATTAATCGAATTTTGTTCATCCACTGACCATAACAGTTAGTGATTGCACTCGAAGTCGAATAATATCTTCGTTGTTCTGGATGAGTTCAGCTACTTTATCACAGGTACAATTAAGCACGTTAATTCCATTCACCTCGACTATGCGGTCCCCAATCTACAACGAATAGCGATTGATAAATTTTTCTCGTAATGTTACAAGTAAAAAAATTAGTGTGGCTTGAGTTAAAAAGAAATCACGACAATCGCTGATGAAAATGAACAATGCGAACAAAACTCATAAACACTTGACAATTAACTTTTTTAATCTGATCTGATTATGACAGTTGTTTGGAAATCGTAATTCTAATTCAGAGTATTATATTATTTTCAACACCTAGGAACTTTTTAAATCACCGGCGGTAAATGAACTCACAAGTGGTTAAAGGACTTTACCGCGTGTGGCGACATCGATTGTCCTGTAATATTATTATTTAGTATTAGTATAACTAGTATATCGTCTGCCGCCGCTATATGCCTGGCTCTACTCATTCGATGCACACACCACAGCAAAACATGTGTTTTACTCAGGATTTTTCCGAAAAAATTATAAAGATATAACAGCAGTGCCTTTAGCCAAAAGTTTTAATAAAAAAGTTGTGAAATAATTAAAATAGGAGACATAAAATTTGAGAATTGGATCCGGTGATTTAATCCTTATTCTAATGAATATAGAAATATCGTCATAAATACAATAAAGGTAAAAGTGTTAGCACATATATCTATTTTCAATAAAATGCAAAGAAAAGAAATGCATTAGTATTAAAATTTCAAGTCTAACTTTTACTTCAACTCTTATAAAAATAAGAAACAATATTACTCAGTTATTGAAATAAGTTTTGTTTACTTATTTATCTCAAATATTATTTACTAAGTTGGCTTAGTAAATTCTTACCTTCAAATTGGAAACATTGCATATAGATGCATCAGGATCGATGGATTTAATGAATACACCTGAACTTTTTTGATCTCCTGCTTTCACTTCATCAGTTGATGCATCAATCTATAAATAATTGAATTGACCTGCTAAAATGTACGAATTAACCTGATATTGAGTTTTTATTGGACTGTGAATAATTTCAAATTATATAAAAGCACTTTCAACGTTTGATAGTTGAATTAAACAGACCTTTCCACCAATTATACTAAAGCCTAGACTTATATGACATCCTCTCTGAATTTCAACAAATCTATCCGAACCCCATTTTTTCAATTGGTTGATATTCACTTCGACTTGCCGCGTTACAGTCATGGTAAATCTGAAATATTGAATTGAAGAATTACGAATCTTTGATTAACATCACTTATTACAATTGAGTTTTCAATTATTTTTATGAGTAAGTTAAAAAACAAAACTTTCACCGATAGAAAATGTCTTTCAACGGGAATTGGACTTGGTAAATATGTTTAACTTGCTTTCGCAACTTTACTGTGTGTAGGAGAAACCTTTCAAGGGCGCGATATGTATGAAATTTGATTAGATCAATGACCTGTTTGTTGTTTACGATAAATTTTTTTTTAACAAACTATAGTTGAAAATATATAAAAGCAATGGGACAGGCAAGCTTAGAGTTTGAAATTTAAAAAAAAAAGAAGTCCCGTAACCAAAGCGTCAAGATTTCGAATTAGAGAAAGAATTATTCTCTACGCGCGGTCATAGACAATTGTTCATCTGTATTGGAAAAAGGTCAGCCTCGCTGATTGCTATTGTGCGGTAAAGTGTGTGATCTATCTATTGGCATATTCAGATGAATTGAATAAGAATTTCACACATTCGCACATAATATTCTCTGAATTATTACATATTTTGGGAAAATACACCAATTTACAGCAACTGATTCATTCACATTCACTAATTCACTAATTCGTCACAGCCACATTTTACACTGTAGAATAATAGACAGACCAGTGACAGCAAATTTTCCTAGCTTAGCATGCTCACTGGATAAAAAAATATACCTCTGAATTTTCTTACGGAAAAGTGCCCGATAGTAGAAGAAAGAAACAAAGCTAAAGGGAGATCTACTGATGTTAATAGCACGAGATGTTGATAATACAGACATCTTCATATGGTTGAAGCATAGACGATAATTTTGAAATGTCTTGTATTTTTGCGCATGCCTCACCATACAACAAGTGAAGAATCCAGGAATATCTAATGAGTAGCGAGCAATATATATAACGAAGTCAGTTTGACATTATTAATGAGGACAATATCAAGACTACAACTCCTAGTATTTTAAACTTTAACATTGATAAAACTTATATACATTTTCCTATCTCACCTTGATTTTCCTCCATTCTTAACTATAACTATAGATCCCTGACGCTCGCTATTGCGCACGTCCATGGAGAATTGACGATTTAGCGCTGTAAATGAATCATAATATCATTGAACTGAAGCGTTACCCGCTGTTTCTCACCATTTTGAATCAGAGAAAGGTGGCCGACAAAAATAATACTAAAAAATATCGGGTTACTTAAAAAGTAAATGAAATTTTTTTTTCGGAATGACGATAAGGAGAAAATCGCAAAGGCGTGTTTACGAAGCATGCGTCGTCATGCGTGCGTAAAAGGGGAAATAAACGAAAATTTAACCACTTTCAATGTGACTTATTTTTCACTTGTTAGAAACAGACCCTCGAGGTAGAGGGTTAAAGACGCAGTATCTTGTAGCCTTAGGCAAATCTATTTGTAATTAGTGAGATGATCCTGGGGGTGACCTTACTGACCCAATTTCAGGTGCGACTCCTGCAACTAAATGCTTGGTATACCGTAAATGTGTACAATTTTGGCTAGTGGTAAAATAACAACGGAGGACACACTTCCATTGTTAACTTTCAATTAAAGTAATTACTCAATTGTCGAGAGTTTCCACAACTCTCAAGATTTACTCGGTGACCTGCGAATTATTATTTCTGTTGACCTACTTATCATTCATCTTTTTATCGTACACTTTTAGGAGATTAATTCAATATATTTTCCTCCTCCACTCTTTCATTATTTTCGTACACGTCTTCTGCCACAGTTTTTACGTGAACACTTCGTATACTGTATGTAAGATTTTGTATGCTAACGAGACATGCAACTGGCAGGATCGTAATGATCCACGAAGAAGAAGGAAAGAGGTATAAAACCGATAACGATTTTTCATATAGAGCTGTGCTTTAATGACGTCGTCGATAATTATATTCATATACATTATTTGTCAGACATTGTTAAGGGAATCGTCCGGCTCTGAGGCAGCAGTAACGGACAAAGAACAAGGCATATTATATTCAAATATGGAATGCTTTTCAAAGAATTATTCAATAAAATAGCTTTCTACTTTAATATTATTATGTTTGAGTAATAACTTGGCAAGTCTTGTCAAAAAAACTTGTATATCACTAAAACTGATAAAAACAGATAAATGCCCAATGCCCATAGCGTATATATTCGGTAGTGAGAGAAAAAAATGTGGTTCAAGGGATGCTGCTATAAATGGTATTGGTGAAAGAAAAATTTTTTCACACCTATATTTTCTCAAGTGTTAAGTAGTTATTTGATCTCTATATTTAAAAAAAAGAAGAAAAAAGAATGAATAAATCAAATGAAGCTGATAAAAAGAGGATGGACTCTACTGGCCGAGAGATTGAGACAATGAATAAAGCAATGCGCGACGATTAATTTTTAATTGGTGAAAAGCATAGCAGTGAAAGAAGCTTACCTGTGTGGTGCAGATTGCCAGAGGAGAGAGAGAGAGAGAGAGGGAGGAGAGGTAAGTTGTTGTGAAGTAGCGAGGAAGAGGAAGGAGAATAGGTGGGAGGAGAAACGGAGGGTTGTGCGTATTAGGGTGAGTTATAGTGACTGCGTGTCGGGTAGACAAGCCGGCGTGGAGAAGAGTAGGTGGAAAGCGGGAAAACGGTAAAAGGTGAAAAGGGGCAAGGGTGGCAAGGGGGGAAAGGGGCAAAGGGGAAAGCTCGAAGGCATGACAAGCATCAGTTCACTTCGGCCTCGCCAGCCGTGCAAGCTACACCGCCGTAGTGTCTCACATTGAGGTGTCAGTGTATGTGCGCCCGCGCCCCATAACTTCAATGCAAATATAAACGGTCGAGGTTGTCACAAAATTTTTCTATTTTTCAACAATTTTTCATGAAGAAAATTATCAAACATCAGTGATTCCATGGATTAACAAATTGTCTCGTCTTGCGGAGTAGTAATATATGTATAGATAGATAAATGCCGAGGCATTCAAACGTCGATATTCAAACCATTCGAGTTCATTTTATTTTCTGCTGACTATCAATTCTAGAATTAAAAGCGGAGACTTGATCATGTTTCTATTATCGAATGAGTGATAATTGTGATATCAACCGCGGAATTCCACGTCATGATAACTTATGCATCGCAGTTTCGTGATTGTGACTCGTTATATGGCCAATTGTATCCTCATAAAAATGAAATCAATCATAGCTTGTAATTGTAACGATTGCCATTAGATATTATTACGTGTGGACAATTTTTCTTTGTCAACATTATATTTGTAAAATGTACGGAAAATGTTGTCGATTCTCAATGATGAAGAATACTGGTAAGTTGTTGTACTGCAAAAATGTTCAATTTAAAACTATTACGGAGATATTCAAGTACTCATAGTGAAAGATAAAGATGAAAAAAATGATAAGTTCAGTGGAGGAGTTTATATATTTGTGATTTAGAGTGTAGCAATTTTACACACTTGATTCGATGGGATACGAGGAAAATAACGTCCTCAATTATAAAAATAGAGTTAAGTGATTTGTTATAGGGGGATCGTTCACTAGTTGGTCACCAGACTACTCATATACAAAAACCAAATAATTACCATTTTTTATTCATTATTATTATTGTTCGAGAAATATTAATACTAATAAGTGGTGAAATAAAATTTTTAATTAATTTCGTTTTTTCATTAGAAAATTATACGAGTATAAATGAATATGAATAATTTCAAAAATAACGGGAAATAAAAGCACTCATATTAACAGAGTGTGAGTTTTAATAAATATAACCTCAGAATATTGATGATACTGTTCATTGACATAAATCCTACTCCTCTTGAACTGTTGGTAGGCATTCGAGAAAATTGTTTTGTTTATCAAGTGAAGAGATTTTTCCATCTATTTTTGAAAAAGAAGCAGTTCATTGAGCAAAAAATTTTTTAACATTGCATAACATATAAACACATTATTTATCATTCAACAATCACAATAAATGATACTTGATCCATGTAATCCTATACACGACTTTAATCAAACTGCACACGATGATTTTCTTCGTCTTGCTTTCGCCATCTTCTCAGCACCTGTAAACGTATTAGAAAAATGCACACCACTCGATATCACATCAAGTTGCTTCAACTCGACGCACTATCTGTAATATAGGAAAGGGTATATGAGCTTTTCCATTTGAGCATACGCGTGACCTGATTTATGACTCGGTCGATCCTGCCACGGTAAATATAGAGGATATTTCAATTTTTCATGTTTTCCCATTGAAGGTAAAACGTATAATTCAATTAAATTGTAGAGTTTCCATTTATTTATTCATTAATTTATTGTTGATTTCTAGCGACATTCCTCATGTTCATAATATTTCAGGTATGGAAAAACTTTTCCAAGAATATTCTCTAGTTTCTGATTGCTCAACAGCACACAACGAGTTATGCACTTCAGTTCATATTGAAACAGTCAATGCGCCAAGATATTACAAAGAATATCTTTTAACAAATAAGTCTCATTTTGTGCTGTCGAATGTATAGCTTTTGAAAGCAACAACGTTGCATCCCACTCATTTCAAGTCCATTCATTCCACCTCTGAGAATGTGTGTAGGAGATCAAAAGACATGTCGAGCGCATCGGTACAATTTATATCAATTTACAGACATGATGTCTGAGTCATATAGAGATAGCAAAATTTCCACTATTTTAACTCAACTATGCACGGAAATGAGTGATGAATAAAAAAGGAAATAAAATAAAATAAAAGTTTGACGACTATCCTGTAGCGATATATAGTATAGTGTATGACCTTTGAGAAACATAGCATAGCATAGCATAGCATAGCATAGCATAGCATAGCATAGCATAGCATAGCATAGCATAGCACACCAGCCAGCTATCGATTATTATTTATTATAACCAGAATTCCGACGCCCCTCAAATACAGTACACCTCGATTGAATTAGATGAGAGGGTGAGAGTCAACTAGATTTTTTAATGTTCGCAGGATATCACCGTATTCGCAACCGCAGTACACATCCACCGCCCTATATAATCAACAATGTAAAATGAGTTTTACGTCACCCCTCACCGAAGCCTTTCACCGAAGATGAGATACTTATCGCTCAAATGTTGTGATAGAAAAGAGACCAATTCGGTGATAAATATGTGACCAAATAATGATCCAATAATGTGAATATGTGTGAGTGTATGAATCCAGAAGATGAAGATCAATCAGATGATCAAGGTGGATAGTCAAATGAGTGTTGAGTAAAATCATAAATTCAAATAAATCTTAGAATGGAGCGTATAGTGACGCTTGAAGGTGCAAGAAATAATGAGTCGGTTGATTTGTTGAATTTCATGAATTCTACTCAACAAAATCGCTCAATAAGTAATCAAGAGAGTCAAAATCTGGACGCACTATTGCTCTGGATTATAAAAGCTATTATCATGAGTTTTATCATTCTTGCAGCTCTGTTTGGAAATTTATTAGTGATTGTCTCAGTGATGCGACACAGAAAGCTACGAGTAATCACTAATTATTTCGTCGTATCACTTGCACTCGCTGACATGCTCGTTGCGATATTCGCAATGACATTTAATGCGAGTGTTGAACTATCCGGACGTTGGCTATTTGGTTATTTTATGTGCGACGTATGGAATTCACTGGATGTGTTTTTCAGTACTGTATCGATACTCCATTTGTGTTGCATTAGTGTTGATCGTTATTACGCTATTGTTCAACCTCTTGATTATCCACTAATAATGACTAATTTGCGACTTACGACAATGCTGGGTGTTGTATGGTGTTCGCCGACAATCATAAGCTTTCTACCAATATTTGCCGGATGGTATGCAACAGCTGATCATCTAGCCAAACGTCAACAACATCCTGAAGACTGTGAGTTTCGTGTTAATAAACCGTATGCTGTAGTGAGTTCAAGTGTTAGTTTTTGGGGCCCTGGCATCATCATGCTCATTATGTATTACAAGATCTACAGGGAGGCAGATCAACAAGAGAGGTTACTCTATCGGTGAGTTCCAATCAATGATTTTATTTTTATCACAATATCATAATATAATATTAGAAATAACATTCACCATTTTTACGATAATTCAATATTGTCAACTAGCCATTTCAAATAATTCTTTATCTTTAATTGAAAAGACTCCCCAAATGCCTCCTCTACCTTACGTCCCACCATCTTGGCGGCCTCCATACTAGTCATCTCATGCTCTACTGTTAATTCGGCCATCTTGTTTTCGTATGCCTCAGCCATATCTTCTTCACGTAATTGTACTTTTATATTCTTCAGCATAATAGCAACAATATAATCACCGAAGTATAAAAATACATTTGACAATTTTTCCACAAATTCTTTTGAATTATCTTCTTTTGGATCATTGATTTTCGTGTTATTATCAGTTGCCCTCTCGTCCTGGTTAACCGTGTCTCTTTTAGATCTCCTCTTCTTACCCTGAAACGCTTCATTTCGTAGTTTTTATACAACAATGTCTTGGCCGATATGGAATTGAAATGTCTTATCTACCTGGAGAATATTAGAAGATGCTTTCTTATCGCTAAGGGTAGATTCTAGAGTGTCAGTCTTCTGCATCCTCTTGTCATTCTCGTTGACCTCTTGATTTTTAGCCACACTAGTCACCTCATTAGGATGTATCTCTCGTACTTGACTTTTTTTCACCTTCCTCTCATCTCCATCATTCGTGACTTTTTCATCTTTATTCAAACTCCCTAAAAGCACATGTTTTGCTTCACCCACATTATTACGATACTTGTCATAATTATAAATTAAATAAGATATATTTCCCGTATATTATTAATATGTATTACTATATTTCATGACAGCAATGGCATCATATTGTCTCTGGTCTCTTTGCAACAAGTGCTGTCGTTCAATACGATTTTCTTCATTACATGGATGATTCTGAAAATAGGCAAAACTCTTAAAACCCATCACACATATGTAGCTCTTCATTTTACCCTTATATTACCGAGCACCTTCCCATCAACGATACCACCAAACTTTTATTCCAACAGAATTTCACAGGATCGTTGTCACAGAAACGCCTGAGGATATTGCCCTTGGTGTCGATCCCTTTTGCTAGCCTCCCCGGAGAATACAACTTTACTTCAATCCGTTTACTTTTCCCATAGAACCCATGTGAAACACCCAAATCCTTCTCTGAATTGAATTTCAATTTGCCAACTTTGTACTTGGAATACCAGTCACGTGCTTTTGAAACGTCCATTGAAATTAATAGATTAATGGAAATAATAAAAATAATTGTGAATCTCATGATACAAACAAATCCAGTAAATAACAATTGTAGGCTTGGCAAGTGGAACTAACAGTGTGGGTACTTGTCGTACAGAACTCGTAAAAGTTGTCCCTCGACATTCCGAGTAATTAAATTGACTATCGATTAATGTTCTTTGTTTGCCCCCCCCCCCCTCTCTCTCTCTCTTTCTCTCTCTTTCTAGAATACAAGGCATTCCAGTTATCACGGGAAAGAGACTGATAAACACAGTTTCACAATAGACGCATTAAGTGTTTCGGATTGTTGTAATTATTAGTTATTGTATGTTAATTTTGTCATTTTTTATTTGTGTTTATGCTGTGCAGCACGAACAAAATATTTGTTTCCAACGACAGTGAAAGATTAAGGTGTAAAGTAGTCTGGCGAAGAAGTACACCAATACACCAAGCAATGGCTAAATGACTCTTATCGTTGAAAAAAATCAGTCGAGTCGAATGTACATAATTGGAACATAAAAATAACCTTAGTCAACGGCCTTCACAACATTCGAGCAGCATGATCGATACCAAATGTACACAGAATCCTTGAAAATTCAAGTAACGACCAATGACACGCGAGCCATTGGAAACAATACCTATCAACCCCAAGTGGAAAATCCAAGCTGCAGTGCAACAGTTTGTTGCGTGAATTTGCATAATAGTCGAACCACATAATTTCTGACCATTTGCCACTATAAGGTCTGACTTTCTTTTAAATTCCCGTCGCCTCGTTTATAACACACATTCATTGCCATTGCTCATTAAATTCTGCCCTTCTCCAGCTTATTCACTTTCCTATACGTAAAACTCGCTATAAGAATCTGCACAGAGATGGTCGAAACTTTGAAGAAAGATGATGATGATTCGATTGAGTTTTGCAAACTTAAATTGCCAATGTGACTTTAAATTTAATTTCTCGTAAGATGCAAAACACTTGGTGGTCCAGAGACATATGTACAACAGAAGAGAAACTTTCCTTCCAGCGTAATAGTGGGATAAATAAAGCGTGATTTTCATCGATTGAAGGAATTTCGTAAATTTTTGTCAAATTTTGGTAAATTAACTGGTGTGAAGGATCGCGTTATCATGAAAATTTTTTTTTTCACCTCCAAATCAACTGAGTGATATTGTAATAGAAGAGATGTCTATATAGGTAGTGTTGCTCAGAGAAAAGCCAGATTGAGCGGTTGGTTCTCTTAAAAAAAGAGGATCGTTACTATCTTTGGCAAGACAAGGGTGACACATGGCCGGTCATTTATAGGTTAACTGTAGGGGCAGGGAAGGGAATATTTTCTATTAAAAATACACGCCACCAACCAACGTCGAGCGATCGATGTCGGCATGAGCTTGATAAATGCGCCAACGGTAACCGGCCAGTCCTAAGTGACGTACACTAAGTCAAGTAGATAGTCCTATGTGAGTTCATTGCCAAGTGACAAGGAAATCAAGATTCTCCTCCTTCTCCATTCCAATATTTTTTCCATCATCTCATTTTTTAATTTCCTACCAAATGAATAGTATTCCTATAAACATAAACATATAAACATACCATATCATCTGAGCTAAGCTAAGGCGGCTTACTCCCCTATTTTTTCTTTTTTGTCTATCCGATTTTTCCATCCAGTCACAAATTCAGGAGAAACCTCTGAAAGTTGCCATTTACTTCTTTTCTGGCTCTCCGTCACCGCCCACGAGGCAATAAAACTAACTTAAGCTACTCAGACTCCATCTCTCATGATTGTTGTTGTTCTTGTTGTTGTTGTTTTTTTTTTTTTAATTTTTCCCCACATCTGAAAATCTCAAACGGTATGATTGGTAACATATCCACAGTTTTTCCGACCTTTCATGGAATTGATTCATTACTACTAATGTCTTGAGGTGGATATAGTTTATTGTGGGGGAAGAGATGTTATATATATAAAAAAAAAAAGCAAACGCCGGTTGGTCCTATAGGATAGCTATTTGAATTGCTAAAAGCATATAGGCAGACAAGGCCCAGAGCACTCGGCGACTGACAAAGCCAAAGGTAGTAGTACGGGTAAATTACAATGGTAGTAAGCGACAGCAGTATAAGGGATGGGTTGCCTTGTGGTTAATGTGGCTAACCACGGGGGGAATATGGAAGTTTCGGTCGATGTGAGTCTATACACAGTGTTTAATGTGCAAGTTCAGTAAAAGTGCATGTAAACAGATAATCTTCTACTACATCTACTAAGATTAGCCATTAATTCATTCGAATCCATTCGCCCTCCCCCTCGTTTTCCGTTAGAAACGATATGAAAAAAGTCTCTTCCCTTCCGTTATCTTGTAGTTCTCATCAAATCATCTTGCCAATTCAGTCTATATTACTTTTGCATCTCCCTTGGGCATCATAGTATGTGAAAAAGAAAATGGATAATGGCAATGACGGATTTGGAATGAAAAAAAATTCTTTAAAATAGCATAGAAAGTACATACTGGTAGCGATCTAAAGATCATAATAGACAAGTCATATCAATGACAAGATCGTAACAGTATGTCTCAGATCGACATTCAACTATATTTAGGAGCTATTTTATTAGGCTATTAATTATTCGTGTTGATCAAAGGATAAATAATTATTTTTTATGAACATTATAATTACATAAGTAGTTTAAATAATTAGAGAAGAGAGAGGAGAGAAGACATGAGACGAGGTTTTGAAGAAAAGCTATTAAAAAGCTGGGGTTTTTGTGATAAAATATTCAATAAGGCCATTTACAGCATAAAGCGCACACACACGCTCGTCAACACTCTCTGTGCACTCATCGTTGTTCATTTACAGTTTTTTATTCAAGTGCACGTGTGTATGTAATTCATGTGTCAAAAAGTTGAATGGCCTCTATCTGAGTTTAGGATACCAACTAGAAATATATGTGACAAAACGATGAAAATCCGTTCAATATCTCCTTACACAATATCTGGTTCCACTGTCGGATTTGCTCAATTGGGAATTAATAGTGAACCTGCATTCAAATAATTAGTATATTTTCAGATCGGATCGATTATAAAGTATTATTAAGCGAGTTTTCAATTGAAATTGTAGTAGTTTAAATTATTCCGAACTAAAATGGTAAAGTAGGGGTCGGCCATTGGATTCATTGATTGATACTTGAATAATAATCAACTATTTTTAATATTTTTAATTTCAGGAGTAAAGTAGCAGCGGCACTGCTCAACAAGCACCTTCAAATAAATGGAATATCAGCAGGCCTAGCGGGACTGCAACCGCCGGAGCAACCCCCACCAGAACCAGAACCAGAGGAACCACAAATCACCAGTAGCAGCAAAATGAAACGAGAGAGAAAGGCTGCTAGGACTCTCGGAATAATCATGTCTGCATTTTTGACATGCTGGCTGCCATTCTTCCTCTGGTAATCACCATTCTCTCCTCTTATTTTTCTACCACTGTAGTCTTTTTTTTTATAACTTTATTAACAAAACATCTTCGTCAATCAAGCAATAAATTTGCTTGCCTTATTAATTAACTAGAGTTATTTATTGTATATAAAAAGTCGGCCCCATTTGCGGTTGAAATAATATTGAACGGAATATCAACGAGCATCACTCGAGAAGACACTAGATATTCTATTCAATACACTGAAACGACGATAGACTCCCAACAGTCTATCCTAGATTGCTGCAACTCTGTGGTATAAAATGAAAAAAAAAAAAAAAAAAAAAGAAAGGAGTCAAGTACGAACTGGCTCACACTTTGCATCACGATCGATAGTTTCCAACGATTCAAGTACTACTAGAAGTAATCTTGAGCATGGACCGGAGAATTGGTCGACTCGATACAAACCATCCAGGTTGTGTGTCAAGTGTAATGTTGCAACATGTACATTATTTTTTCATTGGTTATTTTTCATTTGTTTTTATTTCGATCCTTCCATTCAATTGTTGTTACATAACAAAGCTGCTATAAAATTTCTTTCTCAAAGTTGATGCTAACATTGTCCACTTGGTTGCAATACTGTTTTGTTTCTTTCAAATTATTATTTTTCTCTTTGCTATAATCAGTAAAATTTATTTTCAACTCTCGACGGGCATTCTTCACGTCACCGTTGAGCCAATACTTTTTTTCGCCTCTCTCATCTCTGTCAATCCTTGACCTTCTCCACTTCCTATCCAATGAGACCGAGAATCCAGTCCCTCGACCCAAATACTTGACGCGAACTTCCACATTGGCACACCATTCCTTATTGAAAAGTAGTACCCTATTTTTCATCTGATAAATTTAACATAGCGTAATATCTTCTACCACCTACTGAGAATAAATAGACAATAGCTCGAGTTATCAGAAAAAAAAAATATATATATCAAAGCAAGTATAGTCGTCAAGTGACGGAGGCTCAAGTTGCGACCAATTGCCATTTTTGGCAATTGCCAAACATATTACTTATTACTTGGAGAAAAAAATAACAAGTCTCAACTGGTGGTGAACCTTGATTGATTAAAAAAGATAGAAATGGCTTGCAATGTTGAGTTGTATGTGTCGTACTCACTTCCGCTTGATCAATTCTCCTCAGTACTAATTAGAGTACAAGTTTCTAACTAATAACAGTTTCCCATACTAAATGTTATTTCTTTCGGAAAGAAATAATAAAGCGATACTTCTGAGAGGAAATTAAAAAATTAGTATGTGTAAACATGACCGACTTTACAGATTCATTCAGTATATGTATATATTCACTCCATTTCATATTTCTTTTCTAGCTATTTGATGGCAAATAGAAAAATAAAGTGATTGATCTAACGTCCTTTTTTTTTCGCGAGTGAATTATTGGGAATGGCGCTGGGGAGAGCTCGTTGATATTCCCGTTATATTTTGGATATATTGGCTAGGTGATAAATATGTACGTGAGAGGGACAAATGATTAAATTGCAGGTACCTTATAACATCGCTTTGCGACGACTGCGAGAGCAGTGCGATGGTAGTTGGGGTAGTTTTTTGGGTTGGCTACTTCAACAGTGCACTGAATCCTCTTATATACGCTTACTTCAATCGTGAATTTCGCGCAGCCTTCAGTAAAACACTTGAGAGCTGTTGTGCAGCCCTTGCGCCAGTACGTGACCTAAGACAAGTTCACAGAAAGCAAGATCTCGTGCACAGTAACGCCTCATCAGAGTTGCATGTCAACAATCAGCTGCGGACAAGTGAAATGACTAATGTACACATCGAGGCTTGCATCTAGATATTTTCATTACCGCACACCCAACACCATTATTTCATTTTTTTTCAAACAAAGTTTAACAAATTCATTTATAGAAGCAGAACAAACTCTATGATATATTACCATGCAACGCTGCACACAGCAAAATCACTTTAATATAATATTCCCTTCAATTTTTAATCCTATCCTATATACCTTTAATCCTATTTATAATCTTGAGTTTTATTGTTAAATCTGATAATACTCATTAGTTATTGTTGTTATTGAATTAAAACTTTTCAACGTTGGATGGAACATTCATTTTCATCTCTGAAATAATTCTCTCATTTATAAACGCAGCGTGAATAAATAATTGTGCCAATTATTGATTGTTTCTTCCGATTTTATGTTAAAACAATAAAATTCCTCAATACCTACATAACGAAACTCAATGGTCTCAGCGATTTTTCATTTTTTCATTTTTATTGAAATATGTGTAAATATCTCGGAGCATTACTACAGTGCTACTGTTCCGATGGGACGAAATCGCGCCCAGTGTATTTTCACCATAGCTAATTAATTAATTGAGGACGAGAATATACCGCGATGAGATCTGAATACCAATGAAATTGTACTATGCAGAGACATCAAGCTACTGTTCGTCCAATGTTTAAAATTAGAAAAATCAATTCTACATATACGACCATCTATAGCCCGGAAGTATCAATTAATCTATCTAAGGCATATTTGCTTTACTTTTCTCTAATTCATTTTTATTTTGTGAATAATGCTCCTGTATTCATATACCAGAGAAATACACTCCCACACTACATTCAAGATTGCTTATCGCCAAGGGCGTAAACTTTCCCAACATATTTTTACAATATTGCACTGACAAAAATTCAATACACGAGCAAAGACCGTTCGATGCTTTCGACAGTGAAAAAAATTGAGAAAACCAAAAAAAAAAAAAAAACAAGGAGATGGGGTAGAATAAAATTCTGCACCTGAAGATAGTGTTCAAGCGCATTTACTCAGACTTGCTCTCGTTTTCGGGTGTAAATAAAAAGTAATCAATAACAATAAAGATTAAAAAAAATGAATAATAATACTTAAAACAGGGTGAATTGGAATTTTATTAATTGAATATCGCACTGAACAACCAAAGAAAAAGGATTCTTGTATAAATAGGTAAATGAAAAAGCAAACGACCAAGCTTCCCAGTACACTCTATGTTTTGGTAATGGCGAATAAAAAGGATCAACTACGTTGGCATAATCGTAAAGAAGAACCAAAACTCTACTTTTCCGCGTCAATTGTTTTTGTTTATGTAGATATGATATTTTTTACACTAAATAAACATACAAATCATTATAGTGGGGATGATGTTGATTAAATATTGAGGATATACTGTAAATAGTCAAGTCTATCAGTGGGACGTATTGTTAGAGATAATTGATCTAGGTTGATTAATTTGTAAATTAATGAACCTTTAATATTTATTCAATTTTTGTGGAGTGTTATTGAATCCAAGAACAATGAATGATGCTTCCTCATTATTTTTTATATTGAGAGATAAAGAAAATAATTGAAAAAAAAAAAATACATAAATAAAAAACAAGTATGCGCACATCATTCACGTATTCACGTTGCAGGTGAGAAAAACACTAAAAAATATACCAAAAATGGAGAACAATCATTAATACTAAGATGACATGTAATCGATGGAATTAGATTTGAAATGTTCAATGCGGGAGCATTGTGAAAACACGTGGATACCTATTTAGTGAATAAGTGACTATAGTGACCTAATGAATGTATACCTAATTTGAAAAAACGGAAAAATTCGTGAAACTCTTTAGGCTCTCAAAATAGACTAGATTTAAATCAAATAGGAAGATAAAATATTTTTTTCTTTACCGTAGAAATATCGGTTGTGCGTTAAGACTTACCACCGTAATTTCTACTTGGTCATTTATCACTGATAAACACTATCGGAGATGAATTATGCATGTCAACAATAACAGTATGTTTGGAAATGCAAATGGTCTGTAATAAAATCAATAATAAAAATGATATATTTGCATCAGAATGTATAGATATATCGAGAATACATGTCAAGAATATATAATAACTAACGCCATATATTGAATGACTGTGATGAATCTTTAGGGTCACGTAGTAATATTGAGAATGTCGATATATAAAATAATGATCTGAAGTCCTGGATGGAAGGTCAAAGCACATTAATAAAGATATTTTAAGAAGAATGGATGGTATATATTTAATGAATATCGTATTATTTCTATATGTTGAATAAGTTGTTTTTATTTGTGTTTTTGTTTTTATTCAAATTTGAATGAAACAATATTTATTCCGAAGAAAATGATAAGTATTAATTAATGGAAGATGAATGGCCAATCAGAACTGTTGGGTCTGAGCAGTAGCGCAGGTATGCCCCTAAATATCGTGCTAACGTTTGAAACATGCTTCCACACTTGATTGCACCGGCTTAATTAGAGATTCGTATGATGTACGTGATGCGGATACTCACTCTGGTTTCTAATTGATTCTCCGGGCACTTAGCTGCTCCGTATTTCATTGTCATATCCTTAGCATGGTGAAACATGAAACCCCTTTCTCCCTCTCCATTCATCATTAGTGTGAACACAGATAATTACTCTTATAATATCAATACGCTGATAATTTTTACACAGTTTCTGACTGCCATCACTGGTATGTATTTGATCAATTCTGAGGAGAAAAAAAAAAAAAAACCTCCCTTGGCATAGTAGGGTACCTATGGAGGATTGTGATGTTTCGGTATGGTTTGAAAAAGATAAATGTTGACCAGCACAAACAGCCCACTGAAATAATTGAAGTTTCAAAAGTTGAGCAAGTAGCAAGTTGCAAGTTTGAGGTGTTAACCCGTTAGCCGCAATGCTGTGAGGGTCAGCGCGTTGAGAATGCTCGTCGCCCAGTGTCTTGTTGAAGGTGTTAAGCTATAAACAGTGAAAAAAGGTAAAAAAAAAAAATAAATAAATTAAATTAAATGAAAATGACAGAAAAAAGCACAGAGGCTTCAATTTAGCTAGGAGTAGACATTGAATCACGCATGTGGACTTGCACGTTTCTCCCTCGGTATGACCTCATTAATTATCATGAGAATGGCGCAAACTCTCCTCGTTTCACCTTTTATTCCTAACTGCTTTTTGGGGCTAATGATAGCGTTCCCCTTGATTCATGCCATAATGAACATTCTCTGGTTTGAGGATCAACACGGCACTACAGGAAATCATTGTCAAAAATTTCACTTATAATGATAAAAAAATAAAACACCCCCTAGATTTCCAGATATTTGAAAAGATAGTGAAATCATAATTATATAGTTCTCACATAGGCTTTTCATGCGCTTCGGAGGGAAGAGATGTATTTTTCATTGAAAATTCTCCATTCCTCTCTTGAGGGGTGACCGATATTCAGTCACCCCATGGAAGGGAGAAGCATTCCTCTACTTGCCACTTTTCTCGCTCCGCGCCTTCCTCAAATTAATGGTAGGCAATCACATATTTTTCTTCCCTCTTTGGCACGCAAACGCCCTTTTCTTACCCTCCCAGCAAGGGCATGGGCACATGGTACTCTGATAGAAAGAAAATCAGGTATAAGATCGAAATCAGCTTTGCGGGAAAATGAAAATATACAGCACATAATTATATAATTACAGTGTTTTTTCTCATGGTTGAGGTCAACCACAAGTATCGTCAAATACAGTAGTACAAGTAGACATCCGTACGGGCTGTAAAGTCATTGCTCTTATTGGAAATTCGAATACGAGAGAATTAGTATATTATGCACCCCGGGAGAAAAGTGTCTTCACACAAGAAAGCACTTTTCGACCGTGATGCATATGCTACTTTATATCCCAAGGGATAAAAAGCGCGATCGAACCGAGCGAAGCGAGGTTACCCTGGCGGACCATTCGGGATCTACTCGATAGGCCCTCGATAGAGTGAATCGACTCAGTGCACAACTCGATTCCACCCTATCGAGTGGTCCGCCAGGGTAGGATCGCCCTTTTTACTCCCCCTGGGATATAAATTTATTTGTTGGCTTTATTTTTCCCGTAATTCAATTCGTCACCGGATGAAACAATAGATTGTTCAGTGGTGGAACCGAAACATATGCGAAAATAGAGGTTGAGGATAGGGACGAAACTATAACGTCACTATAATTTTAATGCAATCAAAACCTATTGATATCAGCAAATCAATCGTCATCAATCATTGCATTACATTCACATATTATTCAGTATAATCCATTTCATACATACCTAATATTAATAAAGACTTCTACTCTCCCGATTGAAGTTGTCATTTCTTTCAATTAAAATTGTCCATTCTGGTCGCGTACCAAGAGAAAAATTTTGCCACTTGTGATGTGTAATTATTCTCCTTTATTCTTCAAAAACAGAACTCCTAAAGTTTCACCATGCAATCTTTAATTTCTTTTTCGTTTTGGTACTCCCTTATTTATATCATCATTCTTGTTTTTTACCCTAATGCAGATGGTGAATGAGGAAAAGAGGGGCGAGGGGCAGGAAGGAGGAGACATCGTCATGTCAACGAATTTTATCGAGATTCATCACTCATTAAAAAGAGTTAACAGCTAGGTACGATTGAGTATAGCTCAAGAAATTTAAATAATTGAATGAAGGATCCCGGATAAGAGGACTTTTTCCTTCATAATAATCAGCATTTTGTAAAACTGGAATATTTTTCTCATTCTAATCAGCCGCATTTCAGGTCATACTCAGATTTTTTTGTCATCGTCATTACAACATATGATTATTTCTTTGTATTTAGTGCTTGTCCATATTGTTCCTTTTCAATTATAATGCTAGATTATTAGTTATATTTTTGAAAAAGTACAGCAGTGCTAAGGGACTAGAAGCTAGATTTTTTTTTATATATAAAAAAAAGAAACTTTTTTTTTTTTCATTCAGGAACGAAAAGCAAATATTTGAAGCAGACTTTTCTCCATCAAAAACATTATTTTTAGCCTCGGACTTTTCTCTCAACTCCACTTGATCTTCGTTTCGTGTTTCTTAATGTTTGTACTTTTAAGATTAGGATTCAATTGTGGGTGTGTGTGTGTATTTTTTTCGACTATTACCAACTTTTAAAAGTTGGTTACCAGGTTGTACAAGAAAAATGGACTTTTTTTTTCTCATAGCATAGTTAATCAAATCTATAGCTAAATAAAATGAGCTTTTACCAAATGAGTACTTGGAAAAGCTCTATCACTTGACAGCTCCTTGAATCGTTAATATATTTTTTTTTCAATCTATCGGTTCAATTACTTTACCCACTCGTCTCCAATGACATTTGAATGATCATCATTCATTGATTATTTTGTTCGCATCATAATTGGCATTCTATGTGAAAAGCCATTCTAACGTAGCATTAGTTTTAATTTTCTTCATTAGAATTTATCATTAAATGATAGGATCGTTGTATCCACTTTAAATCTATTTAACAAGCTTAGACTCTCTCCATAAATTCTTTTATACTTTAAAAAATTTGTTTTATTACATTGCAGTTATTTTTGCGACAGAGAGAGGCTGCATAAAAAATCTACAGTACTCGTTTTATTTTTGTTTAATAGTGATCCTGAGTTCAGTATCAATAAACAGAACTTATTAATACTACATGAGAAATTACTGCAATGAATTGTGAATAATTGACAATTCAAATTTCTCTCTTTGAAGATTTACTTCTTTCAAAAAATGTAAAATCCTGGACACAATTGCCGACGGCGTATAACGCTTTAATTTACGCTAATTCAATGTATCCCCTTGTTTTTCGCGATATTCCATTTATTTACTCGGCGCTGAAACTTATCATAGACGTAAGGCTGAATTTCCCAATCGCCATTACTATGATAAAATAAAAAATGAATTTCGAATAATAAAGGAAAAGGTTTCAAGTAGATTATAATGAGAAAAAAAATCGGAAACTCTTTTATATATTGTATCGAATAAGTTAATAAATAATAAAACCTCTTAATTGATGTGACTGAATTAATATTGTCAACGAATAGGGGTTCGATTTAGATATTACATCAATGTCCAATGATAATATCTTGTGGTGATATATTAGACGAGTTAAAAAAATGGTGAAATGCTAAAGGAGAGGTAAGTTTTATGATTGATTGGTTTTTCTCGCAATCCTCTCAGTCGACATTGGGAGAACTCGCCACAAATTCTACTTGATGTACACAATATAATCTAGTGGTAGGTATGAAAAAATAATGAATTGATAAGATAAGAGAGTTGTTAAAATGATGATCACGCTCATCCTCCCGGAATACTTAGTTTTTTTTTTTTCAATTTGAATTATTATTTTAAATGTAATGAATAGCACAAGCTGAAGGTTATTCATCTTCAGTATCACCATCACTACTGTAATCCTGAAGAACGGGTGGCCGAACATACGGGGCATCATTATTCTGGCTGAAAGATGAAAAAACAAAGATGACATTACGACCTGATAATTAATTTGAATTGATGTATTAGAAGTAAGAGTAATTTAACTCACGCTAATCTTCGATAATGATTGAGCCACTCTTCGAGCATCTGGGCTACGAGGAGCGGTCTTTTATGCAATTTCTGCTGTGCCACGAGTATACCACCCTCAGTAGTGCAAACGTCGAGCCATTGTTTCAATATGGTATCCTCTCTACCAATTTCTTCGGTAGTTAAAAAATGTATTGGCAATAATTTACATTCTCTATCCATAAGGGGCATAAATGTCGTTTGCATTTGTATTTGTAATTGTTGCATTGGACTATTGCCACCACCAACTCCAACATCGGTGTGTGATAATCTGGATGAGGCATATGGTTCAATAGGTACAAGAGCTGTGAAATGGCCTCGCGTATAACCAAGTGCTATTGGCGAACGAATACAGAATGAGGGCTCCCAGAGCAATGGCAAATAGACACCCTCGAATCTGGCATATCCAATGTCTTCCCCACGGAAGCTCTTGACATATTTAACACCATATACGATAATAGGCCTTCTCAGTATGTGAGAAAGTGTAAATATATGCAATTGTTCTAAAGCACTGCCTGGCTGAGCAGCTGTGGCCAATAGACTCTCCCAATCATCCTGCCACTGGGCCTCTTCAAGAGTAAAATCTAACATTCTAGATGCCTGTGATGCCTCGTACTCTCTCCAACGTGGATAAAATAAATGTCCAGCTTGTTGAAGCGAATCAGCAAGAGCACGTCTCAGTGCATTATCCCTATCGAAAACACCCCATGTTGCCTGCATTGCTGAATCCAAAAGACAATCACCCGCAGATCTATTCCACAGTGCGTGTAACCGACTTCCAAGCCTCTCTGTTATTTCCAATGACCAATTTAATGCTGGTGGTTCACCTCCACCACCCTCTAACTGCTGTTGTGCCTCGCGATCCAATAATTCCTCAAGCATTTGCTCTTGAACATTACTGGGCAAATCTTCAACCTCAGCCGGAAGGGCGAAAGTGGCAACATCGGTAACAAAGTAACATGGAAGTGATCCCTTGCGTAATCGAATGCTATTTGTCACATGTCGACGAATTTGAGCTGCCAAATCTGGGGCTACATAACTCGGTACTCTCTTTATTCCTGATCCTGAGCCTTCAATTTGTGATAATAAAGTTGCTAGAATATCTTCCCGTTGAAATCTAATGGCCAAGTGAACGAGAGTATGTCCTACGTCGAAGGCGCTGCTTCTGTTGAGTAGTAAAACTTCTGCATGCGTTAATTGACGTGCTGGATCACCTCCACTTGCTAAATAAGCCTCCACTGGTACATTTTGACCCTCGACAATACCTAAGCAGGCATTTAACCAGCACCAGTCTTTGTGGCGGTTGAATTGTCTATTGAATCTACCCTCGTAGTCAATATCATTGGGCCCCTGAAGTTCTCCTGCCAAACAGCTCTCATTCCTTCCATCATATCTCTGAACACTCCTTCGCGCTCCAGCAAGATTTTCATGATCGCGCTGTGCCTGGTGATGAATATATGATTGCGGTGGTGAAGGTAAGCCTCTCTGATTGTGATCTCTCTCAGGACTTGGCAAAATTATTCCTGAATTTGTTGAATTTTCACGCCTATCACGATTCTCCCTCTCCTTTTCCTTCTCCTTCTCCTTATCTTTTTCCTTCTCTTTATCTTTATCTTTATCCTTGTGATGAGCACACATAATACATTTCGTTGCTTTTGGCCAATTTTCATAAGTACATACGTGACATGACCATTTTTCCATCTGACCAACTGCTAAATTATTTCCTATTGATGGTGTATTAGGTGGTGGATCGCCCAATCTTAATGGCGCTAAATGTTCATGTAAATTCGATGCTGAATTTATAATCGATTGAGCGTGCTGATGATGGTGATGGTGATGGTGAGCTGGCTTAGATGTACTACATTGGACACAACGTGTTGCATTTTGATAATTCAAATATGTGCATGCCTCGCATGACCATTTACCACCTGATGGTAAATTTTTACTGTAATTTTGGGGACTGAGTGTGAGATTACACCTCTCAGTTGATGTTGGACTGTAAGATACCGGGCCCGATGCAACATTTGATCTTTGGGGACTTGAATCCCGTAATCTGTATATATCTTCACCGAGCAGGGGCTTTGTACCTCTGCACATTGTGCACTTCAAGGAGGATGGCCAATTCTCATAGGTACAATATTCGCAGTGCCATTTTGATTGGCATTCTTCATAACTACCACTCATTTTTTATCCCTCTTTCTTAATCTGTCTGCAATTATTATTAATATTATTATTATTCGTAGTATTATTATTATTATTAATAATATTCAGATTATTCACACATTATATTTTGGTTCTTTTTTTATAATATGTATTCCCTTTTCATTTCTTTTATTGTCAAAAAAAAGAAGAAAAAAAAAATTGAATCACTTGGTTTCCATGTTTCTTTTCTAGTCGAATGATAGGAAAAAAAAAAAAAAAACAAAAACAAAAACAAAAACAGATATCTCTCACTTTCACATACTCAATTAATTCCTATATTTTCTGAACGAATTAATCCCCTCACCTTGATAAAAAGGAATAAAAACGTACCTCTGACTTACTTAATTGTTAATTGTTGACGCCCAAATTCACTCCAATTATTAGAACAATGAAAACTCGGATACTTTCACATTCTACGAAATTATTTTATATATCAATTGAAAATAGTATCACGAGGAAGCTCGAGAGTAGTATCACGTTGATATCTGAAACAAAGAAGCCCAAACATTAATTTAAAAATAAATAAATGAATCAAGGTAAAAATAATAACAAAACAAAAGAAATTCATTACCAGAAGCAAGTACTCACTGGTAAACAGAGAGTGAACAATGTCATTGGATTTGGATTATGATGAATCTGCGAATGATAACAAGTTATTTTTTGACTTAACCTGTATTATACAGCAGGCTATTGTCAAGCACAATTTTGTTGAATGTTCATCAAGTTACTGATAGCCATCAGTCACCAGTAATAAATTTTCTAAATATACAATGAATGAACACTCATGCAGCCAGTTTATTCAGCATCATTATACCGACTTCCAATGCTCGTTACCTATGATACAACGTCCAACAATACAACACATTGGAAAATAATTAATTTATCCATAACTTGGTGATTATTTGTTTACTAATGTTTCTCAAACTCACATTAAAACTGCTGGTTTATTGTAACGATATTTTCGTCTGTCATACATCAGTGTACCTACACTAAAATTCCACCTGATATGAAGCAACTCGATAAATACAACATTAATCACAACAAAAACATGTATACAATTTTCCCCCTTGTTCTTTCACTTGCTTACTGTCCTTATCCCTCACTTAATTTCATTTACCTCACTAGCCTTCCCTTTTATAATATAATGGAAAAAATAATCACAGCTCTCACCTCCTCCTTCAAAATCTCACCATCTAATTATATCCTGTTAACACGCAATTTGTTGTGATGTTTATTGGGTCTCATCTTGTCTAGCGTAAAATCATCAAGTTAAAATGAGTGACTTATTGTTTTTTTCTTCTGTTTTATTTTTTTTTTTTTATATGAAGAAAAGGCTAAAACGACAAATACGGATGAAACGTAGGAGCGCTTCTCGGGAGGATAGGAAAGTAGGTTTTGACAGTCATCAGCAAACATCAGACAGCAGTAGCGCAACTAGCCACCATATTCAGTCCTACCAACATTATCCATTTTTTTTCCTCTTTCAAGTGTGCGAAAAATATGACATTTTTTAGTCAACTTATAACTAACTAGTCAGTAGTGACTTATATGTGGAGAAAAAAAAATTATACATCAAAATAAAAATATTTGTATTCCAGCCTTCTCAATTTTTCAACACTCAATGATTTCATGTAATTATATAACTGGTAAATTATTCATAACTAACCTTGAAAACAAACGGCTTGCACGGTTTAAATGAATTTATGACATATTTGATCATAGATATATATATATAGAGAGAGAGAGCGAGAGAGGGAGAGAGCCATTATGCCCTACATTACATTGAGGTTTTGATTTAATATTATTTCACCATCATTTACCGAATATTTACTTTTTGATTTTTCCCTATTGTCTTATTTTTATTTCTCTCTTGCGCGATGATCGACGAATGATTAATGATAAAATGATTGATTCTAATCGAAAGCATCATATATGTATATATATATATATATTTTTTTATTTATAACTCTTTGGGAGTACAGCCAAATGGGGCTTAGCCTAGACAATTTATCCTTGACATTTGATCGTTTGGGATTTGCTTGATTGTTGTCGTTTGCTATCATTATCGAACTAACAGATTCGTGGAAACCGGAAATGATTTATATACTGAATGAATGGTACTGTTATTTGTTTCAGCTTCTCAGTACAATTTTATCAACTTTATGATTATCGTTAGTTACAATTGAATTGGTATTCGAAGAGCAATAATAATTTAAGGTGAGAAAAGGTTGAAAAAAAAAGTAACGAAATGACGATGGAGAATATTAATGTCACTGTACTATATGGAAGTGAGACCGGAACTGCACAAGACACTGCTGAAGAAATTTGGATTAATGCCAAGAGGTTTTCGTCGTTTAACGTTATAAAAATTCTATAGCAGTAATAACTGGAAAATGTCGAGATATCTATTGAAAATAATTGTAAACTGATTTTCAATTTTAGAAATGGATTGGTATGCTCAGTGATGGCAATGGATGATTATAATATCGAACGCCTTTCCTCAGAACGCGTCATTATCTTTGTAGCTTCAACAACTGGTCAAGGTGATCCACCATCTAATATGAGAAAATTTTGGAGGTTCCTACTGCGTAAATCTCATCCCCAATCTCTCCTCCAAAACGTCAAGTATGCTGTTTTGGGATTGGGCGATAGTTCATACGAAAAGTATAATTTTGCTGCGAAAAAGCTCAACAAACGTCTAGTTCAATTGGGAGCACAAGAAATGATTAAAATTGCCCTCGCAGATGATCAACACGACTTGGGGATAGATGCAGTAATAGAGCCGTGGATAAAAAAAATATGGACCGTCATATCGAATATCTTAAATATCCCTCTCAAATCAGGCCCTCTCCTCAACCAAGTTATAGAACGTTTCAACGTCTCGATTATTCAGCCGAATCAACTTACAATAGAAAGGGAAAATAATATAACTAAAGATATTTACAGAGATGAACTCGAGCTAAATAATAATCTAAAACTGGCCACTGTCATAGATAATACGAGAATAACAAGTAGCGATCATTTTCAAGACGTTAGACTTATTAAATTTACCATTGAAAATGTTGATTATCAACCTGGAGACATTGTTTATTTAAAACCAAAGAATTCCTCAAAGCAAGTATCAGACTTTTTTAATCTTCTGAGGGAGAACAATTGCTCTGTAACTAGTGAGACTCTTTTGAGTATTTCGAGCAAGGAAATAAAACCTCCATATTGCTTTCAACGGCCCTTGACTCTGCAGCAAGTCGTTGAGCAGTATTGGGACCTTAATTATAAACCAAGAAGGTCGACTATGCAGATCCTGGCTCTCATAAGTGATAATAAACTTGAGAAAGACAAATTGACGGAGTTTTCGACAGCTATTGGCCAAGATGAACTTTATAATTATGTTAATAAGCCGAGGAGGAATATTGTCGAGGTTTTAAGGGATTTTCCCAATACCATTGGGAAATTAAATGAAAGAAATTTATTCGAAGTGATGGCACCAATCAAACCCAGGGCATTTAGCATTGCTTCGAGCAGTAAATCTACTCCCCATGAAATTCATCTGCTAGTGGCTGTTGTCAAATATAAAACCAAATTAATGGAACCAAGATTAGGACTCTGCTCAAACTGGTTGGCATCATTAAAAAAAGGGGAGAAACTCGTTTGCTCTTTACAGAGTGGAACGTTTATTTTTGATGGGACAAAACCGATGATTCTTGTGGGCCCAGGCACTGGAATTGCTCCCTTCAGATCGATTTTATTAGAACGAGAAGCTACTGGAGTAAACTTAAAAGATGTTCTCTTGTTCTTTGGGTGCAGAAATCAAAAGAAGGATTTTCATTGTAAACAAGACTTTGAAAGATTAATGAAGAATAATAACTTGAGGTTTTTTTGTGCCTTTTCTAGAGATCAAGAGGATAAAATGTAAATATTTTATACTAAAAATTCTCTTACAGCACATTTAATCGAAAATTCCCATTCTTTTCAGATATGTTCAACACTTGATTAGGGAACAAGGTAAAGTATGTTGGAATTTATTATTAAATGGAGGTAAAATCTACCTGTCTGGAAATTCAAAAAATATGCCAAAATGTGTGAGAGACGAATTTGTTAAGATAGCAAAAAAATTTGGCAATTTCAATGACTTAGATGCTGAAAATTTTGTAAAGAACCTTGAGAAATGTGGACGATATCAAACTGAAACTTGGGGTTGACTGTTTACAGTGATTTAATAATAAAGAACAATTTTTTGAAATGAATAATTAGTGAAATTGATGATGAAAATCGAAAAACGATATCCTTACAACTGCTGTCAATGCTGTGAGGGAATTTCTATTCTCATTTCTCATCGGATAAAAGCATGATATATCCTCTTAGTAAAAAAGCATGGACAATAAAATGTCGTGGACGGTGAGCTGAAGGATGCGATCTCATGGGAACGATCAAAGAGGATTGTCTAAAGTAGAGGCTCAGTTCTGGTGCTTTGAGTGACCCCAGCGGCATCGTAGTACTGCACCCCAAGACGGGGAGGGTGCAACACGCAATGGTGGGGTGTTTTTTTTTTATTAACCAAGTTTTTATTGCAATGCTGCGGTGTCCATCAAGTCGACGGGGTGAATTTTATTTTCTGCTGTACGAATGCTTTTTGTTTTTCATTCGTTTAACTGAAATTTAGTCGACTGTAGCACGTACGGAAGGGGGAAACCACATCTCGTGGAATTTCAATGGAAAAAATTATTCAATGTATTGAATATATACCCCTAATGAATTTATAATTTTAAATGAGCACGTTGTCCTAGCAGTAACGTGCTTGCCTACCACGCCAACGGCTCGGGTTCGATTCCGGCAACATTCAATTTTTTTTTTTTCATAATAATTCCAATTTTTTTTT